GCAAAGTGCTATATAAGTGCGAGCTACTGTCATTGGCAAAGGGTGACAACTGACTGCTCCTCTACCATCACCAGTTAGGGGTGACAACTGCTCCTTGGGACCCTCTATGTTCCTCAGATTCTTTGAGTGGGGGTATAATTCCAGATGGAGAAGATGCTCCTTTTCCCCTAAATGTCTTTTGATTTGGAAACTCCCAGCTCTACATAGACTCCTGGATACTACCTGGCTGCCTTGTGCCACCAGAGTGCTGATTTGCCTTTGGCTGGGAGCCCAGTGGCTCCTGTATGTGAGTGATGCTCTGAGTTCTTTTTGCATCAGCATTTGGGAGACAGGGTCTCTTGCTTCATGAGAAGCCCATAGGACTCAGGGGCCATACAATGAAGGAAATAGGCCCCAAAGCTGACCCCAGATATCAACATAGAGAGCTCTGTGGTAGGGCAGATGCACGTGTGCTCACGGCTGGGCCCTTGAAGGCAAAGCATGCAAAGTTTGTCTTTGGCCCCCTTTCCCTTCAGAATTCTGTTCCTTCTCCTACTTTTCTCCCACCCCACAGAGCTGGTGATGTTAGGCTGCCTCTCCCTTCTAGAACTCTTCATTGGAAGTACCAGCCTCAGTCTTGAGGAGTACTGTCCAATAGAACTTCCTATGATGATGAAATGTTATAAATCTACTCTGTCCAATGGTAGCCACTAGCCACATGAAGCTAGTAAATATTTGAAATGTACCCAGAGTGACTGAGAAACTGAATTTTTAATATTATTTAAATTGCCACATGTAGCTATGGCTTGTATAGTAGACTGTGCAGGTCTAGAGCTCAATAATCTGATCATTACCATATCTCCACTGCAATCAAAACTGACCTGTCTTGAACTGAGAACCCAGATATAAAACCATCCTCATATAGCCACCTAATCTTTGACAAAGAAGAAAAAAACATACACTGGGGAAAAGAATCCTTATTCAATAAATGGTGCTGGGAAAACTGGATAGCCACATGTAGAAGGCTGAAGCAGGATCCACACCTTTTACCTCTCACAATAATCAACTCATGCTGGGTAACAGATTTAAACCTAAGGAGTGAAACTATTAGAATTCTAGAGGAAGATGTTGGAAATACTCTTCTAGACATTGGCCTAGGCAAAGAATTTATGAAGAAGACCCCAAAGGCAATCACAGCAACAACCAAAATAAATAAATGGGACCTGATCAAATCAAAAAGTTTTTGCACAGCCAAAGAAACTGTCACAAGAGCAAACAGACAACCTACAGAATGGGAGGACATTTTTGCATGCTACAAATCTGATAAAAGGCTGATAACCGGAATCTACTTAGAACTCAGGAAAATCAACAAGAAAAAATCAAACGACCCTATCAAAAAGTGGGAAAAGGACATGAACAGAAACTTTTCAAAAGAAGACAGAATAATGGCCAAAAAACATACGAAAAAATACTCAACATCTCTAATCATCAGGGAAATGCAAATCAAAACCACAATGAGATATCACTTATCTCCAGTGAGACTGGCCTTTATCAAAAAGTCCCAAAACAATAAATGTTGGCGTGGATGCAGAGAGATAGGAACACTCATACACTGCTGGTGGGACTGCAAACTAGTGCAACCTCTGTGGAAAGCAATATGGAGATACCTTAAAGAGATACTAGTAGAAGTACCATTTGATCCAGCAATCCCATTACTGGGCATCTACCCAAAAGAACAAATGATACGATATAAGAAAGACACCTACACCCGAATATTTACAGCAGCACAATTCACAATTGCAAAGATGTGGAAACAACCCAAGTGTCCATCAATACATGAGTGGATTAATAAAATGTGGTATATGTATACCATGGAGTACTATTCAGCTTTAAGAAACAATGGTGATATAGCACCTCTTGTATACTCCTGGATAGAGCTGGAACGCATTCTACTAAGTGAAGTATCCCAAGAATGGAAAAAAAGCACCTCATGTACTCATCATCAAATTGGTATTAACTGATGAACACGTAAGTGTACATATAAAAATAACATCTATTGGATGTCGGGCAGGGGGAAGGGGGGAGGGGGAGTAGGGGACAGGTATATGCATACACAAAGAGTGCAATGGGCACCATCCGAGAGGTGGACATGCTTGAAACTTGGACTTGGGGGGGAGGGGAGGCAAGGGCAACATACGTAACCTAAACATCTATACCCCGATAATATGCTGAAATAAAACAAACAAACAAACAAAAAAAACTGACCTGTCTTATGTCCCAATCCCAAGGCAACGGCAAGTCAATCTCATAAACAAATTGCTCTTCATAAATTAAGGTCTTAGCCCTCTTAGGTAAGGGTGCAGGTTTTAAGCAATGTCACACTTTAGTTAAGGCAGAGGCTCAAGTGATAGGGATTTGGGTCTCTGGCAGGTAAGTGCTGGGTGAAAAGTTTCTGAGCTTAGAGCTTCAGATGCACCACAGAGCACATGCTACGGATGGGCACATCCCCCCCAGTGCCCTAGGCTGTGTCAAAGCTTCTTTCAGCCTCTTGCAGTCTGGGGACAGGTAAGGTCAGAAGCATGTGTTTGGGAGCCTGGGAAAGGGCTGGAAGTGGGAGGGCTGGAACAGGTAGAGCCCAAAGGATGCCAGAGCTTTTGCACAAGAATCTGGCGTGCCAGGCAGAGAGATGTTTTGTTCCACCCTGGGGTGGGGGTGGAGCTCCAGGGAGTGTTAAGGAGCTATCGTTACCATTGGGACAGGATTGGTGAGGTAATAGCTAAGTCTAAGAGATTGGAAACCAGATTAAAGGCCACAAAATGCACTATGGCACTTCTGGTCACGTCTTGGACAGGAATTGCAGTTCTACTCTTAATTCTAATCCCTTCTTTTAGGGAGTTTTTTTTTCCCCTGAATTCTTTTATGAATGTTGCTTTCTGGATATTCTTTTCACCCTGAAATTGAGCCGTGTGTCTGTTTCTCTTGGATGACCATGTAATTGCTTTCAAGTTCTTACCTGTGTTTTTACAGATATCCACTGGCATCGGAAGCCGCTTTGCAATCCAAACACCAGGTTGGGTAAAGGGTGGAGGACAGTAGAGGGTGGATGCTGGGGAAGGAGATCATTAAGAGGAATAAAAGGCCCTTGAGGTGCACTTGGACATGAGTAAGAAGAGTGTGTACCAACACTAGCACTTTGGGATTTACTCTCAGGCTCTTGGTTTGCCAATTGGTACCACAGGTAAATCTACTATCACCACCTCACTTGCCCTATGCTATTTCGTGAATGAAAAGAAGGATTTCTAGTTAAGCCACTGCCCACAGTGGGCACTTGTTTGTTGAAAAAATACAAAATTTTATAAAGTAAATTGTAGACTATATCTCAAACATTTCACGCAAAAATGTGGTCTACAAATGAATACATATATGAATACAAAATGGCTGCCAAATCCCCTCTGGTGCTTTGCAACACAGTTCCAACCTCACCATGCTTTCTGGATCTCTGCAACCTCCTGAAGGAAAGGACTGCTCACAGTATTCTGTTTTACGTGTTCTCCTTTGCCTTTACTTCCAGTAAATACCGTGAGGTATTTGGCATCAAGGGGCAGCAGTCCTGACAGGAGAAGGAAACTCAGAGAAGTCTGAGTAGGTTGACTGACCAGTTCCAATGTTCCCAGAGACTGTCATACAGGGCTGTTACGATACAGACTGCTGTTGATGCCTTATGGTATCCCTTCCGCAAATACTTGCTAATGTTCACTCTGGATGCTATAAATTTCAGTCTATTTGCATGAAAAACAAAAGTTCCTGCTGGGCTGAGGTAACTCAGAGCAGTGGTTCATGACAGGGGCAATTTTGCCCCCACCCAGGGGATTTGGCAATGTCTGGAAACATTATTTTATTGCCACTTCTAGGGGGTAAGTTTTGTCTTCCTTGGAACCTTAGGCAATGTGTGAAGATATTGTTGGTTGCTATAGCTGGGGAGAGTTGGTGGTCTGTTATTATGTAGTGAGAGACCAGGGAGGCTGCTAAGCATCACAGGATGCACAGAACAACCCCATAACAAAGAAGTATCTGGCCCAGAATGTCAACAGTGTTGTTTGAGAGACCCTGGTCCAGAGGAAAAGTTCAGGCTTAGTTTTGACATTGAAGTGACAGATGGCTCTCATGGAGCTATCCCATTTTCAATGTGGGACGACTAATAAACACCAGAAGTGGCCCCAAGAAATCCCAGTTAAATCTTTCCAAGGAGTTTCTTCAACCAATAACCTAGTCAGTTTCCTATCTTCACAGGTTCTTAACTTCTTCCGAAAGAGAGAGAGTACAGCTTCAGGCTACATATGCCAAACTCATCTCAGTGGGTCTGGATGCCATTGGACTGTTGCATAGACAGAGGCAAGCCATGGGGCTTAGTTTGTCCATCTGTAAAATGGAGTAATATGCTTTATGACCTATTTGTCAGTCAGTCCTGGCATCCTAGGGTTTCCTTGCCACTGGTAGATGGGGAAGATCCAGAATATGTCATATGCAAATCTTGCCACATAGGCTGGGAGGAAGGAGACATGCAGCAGTGACACTACCAGGGTGCTGAGGAGGGGCCCAGAAAACTGTGGCAAGTATTTGTGTACAGTTTCTTGGGTAAATAAAAGCAAAGATGATATTTCTCTTTCTGATTATGAAAGTAACACAGTCTTTGTCGATGATCTCTTAACTACAGAAAACTATGAAAAGAAAATCGAAATCTCCCATAATTGCACCACCAGAAGATATCAGCTATTAAAAGCTTTGGTATTTTCTTTGAGAAAACGGAGAAGGGAATGAGCACCAGGTTTTCTGAGCTGTACAGGCTGGGGAGATTGGAAAGGTCTATGAGGCCAGCAGAATGCGCCAGTGTGGATGTTGACTGGTTTGAGGTTATATTCTCTGTGAGTCAGGATAGTTCAGTCCCTGCCTGTACCTGGACGAAAAGGACAGCAGGGCCCATGGGTGGTGTGACCAAGCAGCCTGTGGTCGAGTGCCCTTACCTTTGGGGTTCGTGTGGAAAGCATCCTTAGTGTTTGCCTTCATGAGTAGGAGTAGAGTTCTTTTGCTGAAAGAGGAAATGACTCATTTTAACTCAAAGATGACAAAACAGGAGATGCCATTTCTGGCTTGTTCTGCAGCACGTAGCATGGCTGAACATTGTCACTGCAGTGACAGGCATATGACAGCTCTAGTTTTCTGGAATTAATTTTTTGGCAATTTTATTATGAAGTAATTTCAATCTTACAGAAAAGTTACAAAAACAGTAAAAAAAAAACCCATGTACCCTTCACCCAGATACCCTAATTAATATTTTATCACCTTCAATTTTCCATCCTCTTTCTTCTCTGTATACAAACATTATTATTTTTTTCACATCGTTTGAGATTAAGTCATAGTCATGTTGCCTCTGTACCCCTAAATATTTCAGTATGTTTTCCTAAGAACAAGGACATTTTCTTACATAAACACAATAGAATAATTAAAATCAGAAAATTTACACTGATGTAGTATTATTATCTAGTCTATAAATCTTACTCAAATTTTCCCAGTCATCCTAGTTGGGATTAGAGTTTATGAAATTTAGTTCTGGAGACCTTAATGAGACTTACTGAGAAATCCTGACATAGCCACAGCTCAACTGGGAATTTGGCCACTCCAGTTTGAAGCTCAAATTTGATTCTATCTCATTGGATCATATGAGCACTGGCAGAAGAATGTTTTGTGAAGTGTGAGTAACTTTTGGTGGGGTACAGGCTTCCAGAGTTTGGGCTGTGTCCCCAGGAGTCATGGTTTCCACCCTGTCGTTGTCATTATATCTGGCCCTAGGTTTTGTACAAGAACTTTTTAACTTTGGAGGCTGATTGGCCTGGGTCTATGAGATGTACGGGAATAAATGCTATGAGGGTGGATCTGAGTTAGGACAAAAATGATTTCAGGACTTGAATACAAAATAGGCCCATACATGTTTGCAGCTACTTTTTAAAACAGGCTTTGCTATGTGGACAGCAATTCCTAATTTAGTGCCCAGTTTTGTTCTGCACATTCCATGCAAAAACAAATAATCTAACTAGAGTAGGAGACCAAATAATGCTTGCAAATCATTTCTAAGTCCTCAAAATCCAGAATCCTGAAGAATATCCCTCGAGGAAGCCAGTGCTGAATAAATATTCTTCGCACTGACTCAACTGGTGGAGGAGGGGGCCGGCAGGAAGCTGTGGATGGCCACCAGCAGCTTTATACCATTGCAATCTCTCTCTCTCACACACACTTTCCCCACCTTGTGGCTGTTGGCGTAATGAACGGAGAGCCCAGAAATCTTTGCAATCAAAGCCTATGATGTGACGGGGGCTGCCTGAGCGTTTGGTAATTAGGTGTCTGGTGAATCCAGAGCCTGTGACACAGATGTCTGGGGAAGGCTTCTTAGAAGTCACCAATTTTTCACCATAGGGTGCAGTGATACCGAATTTTTTAAAACTCTGAATATTCTAGAACACATTTTCGATTCTAGGAATTATTTCAGGACTTAAAGTTCTCTCTGATAATATCGTAGCTCTGTTCAGAACAACTCCTGTTCTGTTCTATTACCACCCAAATAAAATCCAGACTCATTTTTACACTCTTGACGGAAACCTCAAGGGGCTGGGGGTGGGGTAGGAAAGGGTGTAGAGGGAGCAGGGACAGGAGGAGAGCTGTGTTGGGGGTGGAAAGTCTGGAACACCAAACAGCGGGAGTGAGGGCTTCGGGGCAGACAGCATAAAAGGGATTGCAGTTTCTGCAATTCAACAAACACTTATTAAGTGACGAGCCCTGGGCTCACATCATTAATTCATGTATCAGCTTCTGGTGGGATTCCACACATGGTAGGCAGAGGATGAGAGACAAGCATGTGGGATGTCTAGTTCCCTCCCTCCCTGCCTTCCTCATAGCAGTTCTAGCAGTGGTTGTGCATCTTTTACCATGATGCCAATTGGGCAGCTCTTCTGCCCTGGCTCCAACTATCACTGGGTCCCAGCAAAATTCTTCCCTCTCCATTCCTCTTTATACAGAGGAGTGGTGGTGACAAATTCCCTTGTTCTCTCAACTCTGCCCACAGGTACACAAATAGTCTCTTCATAACATTCTCTTAAAAAACCCAGTTGAGTATGCTGTATTTGTCCTGTCTGACCCTGACTGACATAGCCTTTGAATATATGCTGAATTGTTTCTGATTGCTCTGGATGAGCTGGAAAGGTGTAAAGTTTTTTTGTTTTTTTGAGACAGAGTCTCACTCTGTTGCCCTGGCTGGAGTGAGTGCCGTGGCGTTAGCCTAGCTCTCAGCAACCTCAAACTCCCGGGCTCAAGCGATCCTACTGCCTCAGCCTCCCAAGTAGCTGGGACTACAGGCATGTGCCACAAGGTGTAAAGTTTTGTATATACTTTCTAACACTAGGCTATACCAATGCAGAGTGGGGAGACATAACAGAAAAATCTCTCATAGATTTAGTCTTTCACACACCTTAGTATTGTGTGTCAGTCAGAGACCAACCTGATTTCTGGCCACATTATTGGAAGTATGGCTTTCAGGACGAAGGAGGAGACAGTGCTACTTAATCCTGCCTTCATTAGCTCCCACTTGGAGTCCTGTGCTCAATTCCTTGCTTCTCACTTTAAGAGAAGACATGTTACTTGTCTTTAAGTTCTGTCATATAGAGCAACAGTTTAAAGAGTTATTCTTCAAGAGCTAAATAGTAAATATTTTTGGCTTTGTGGGCCATTGGTTCCCTGTTGTGATTATTCTGTTATTATTCTGTTATTTATTGTAGCACAAAAGCACCCATAGACAACATGTAGTCAAAAATGCTTGGCTGCGTTTCAATAAAACTTTATTTATAAACATAAACAGTAGGCTGGATTTGGCCTGCGGGTCTTACTTTGCCAATTTCAATATAAAGAGAAAAAGTGAATTTATTCGGTGGGTTTCCAGAAGGCAGAGTTGGATTAATGTGTAAAAATCATGGGGAGGTAGATGTGTGCTAAGTTTAAGAAAGATTGTTCTAATCGTGATTACTATTCCCAAATAGAATGAGCAATTTCATGAGGCAGTGGGTTTCTTGTCATTGTAGAGGTTCAAAGCAGAGGTTGTCTATCTTAGAATAATTTTCTGCAGGGCATGGGGAGCAAATCAGATGATCTGGGAAGTAACAATGTCTCATATTTTGAATCCTCAGCACGGTATCGTGCACACATAGTCACTCTTCTAGATTTTATGTTCCTAGAGCGAAGGGGCTGTGTCCTATCCATCCTTGAATCCCATCCACTCCGAAAGCCTAGTATAGTTCTTTGAACATGGCAGGCGTGAGCAATACATTTTTTGTCAACTTGTCTCTTTAAGTGAAATCTTGCTGACAGATTAACTGAACTAATTTGTATTAGTACAATCATCACTACTTGTCATATTACATTAGTTCAATTACCTCTAATAAGTGTCAAATTTGAAGTTTTTCCCTGAAAATTATAGACATGATAGTCAACATTTACTGAGTTCTGAAAAAATGTGAGCTACTGTGCTAAGAACTATACATGCGTTATCTTATTTAATTCTTCCCCAAACCAACGAGGTAGGTACTATTATTATCCCCATTTTATTGGGTGAAGAAACTGAAATTTAGAGAATACCCATAGCTGGGAAGTGGCTTAACTAAAACTTGAACTGAAATCTCTTTGATGCCAAAGGCTGTGGCCCAACCGCGAAGTCACCCTGCTTCCCAGTCATCACTTCATTCATTCATTCATCGAGTATTCAGCAAACACTGATTGGTGGTCTGCTGTTTGCCAAGTACTATTTGAGGTGCTGAGGGTAGAGCTCTGAATATAAACAGGTCAAGTCTGTGCTCTGAAGAAACTTACATTACGGGTGGGATGGGATAGGGGTCCGTACATGATTAACAAATGAGAATCTAACAAATGGTAATTTATCACAAGACACAGGATTAAAAACACAATAAATATTTCTTGTCCACACCAGAACTGCAGGTATAATCCTTAACTGATGAATTTAACCAAAACTTTTTCTTATTTACTGACATTAGCTCGAGTTTGGTCTTTAGTCTTGACAAATTGTCAGATACACTCAGATTCAGAAAGAAGCTTCAAGCCTTCTCAGAACTGATGTAGATTACATATGGCAATTTGTAGACATGCACGTGAAGCGCATGAAGAAAAAAGTATTGCCTCCAATAAAGCACCTGGGAACCAGTCCTGTTGGGCAGGCTGAATTTGAGCACCATCCAGCTGGGAGACCAGACGCAACAGATGAAAGGAGCGGGGCGGGGAAGCCAGTTCAGGGAACACAAAAAAAGTTGGATGGCAGAGCAGGTAACCACAGTCAACAACAAAGTATTGTATATTGCAAAATAGCTAGGAGAGAGGACTTGAACTGCTTCCAACACACGGAAATGACAAATTCTCAAGGTGAAGGACACCTCAAATACCCTGACCTGATCATTACACATTCTATATGCATGTAACAAAATATCACATGTACCCCATAAATATGTACAAATACTATGTCTCAATAAAAAAATTAAAATAGTTAATAGATTATTAATAATGTAATTATAATAGTAATAGTTATACTACTATTAAATGACATTTATTGAGAACCAAAAAATATCAATATTTATAACAACTGCTACAATGTGAAAAGTGTCTGACCCCTACAAAATAGAGGCAAACACACCAATTCGAGTGGTGGGTTTAGGAGTAAAGCTACCAGGATGGCTGGGATGGGAGGGAACCAAAGGAAAACTGCAAAATCTTGATTAAGATTGAGATTAAGAGAGAGGGCACAAGAACACTAAGGGTCTTACAGGATAAAGTCAAATCGATTGCCAGGTCCAACAGGCAAGTGCTGATGGACAGTGGGAGACAGAGCCCAGAGCTCAGGGGCTGAGTAAACACAAGCCCAGATGAGGAAGTGAAAGAGTCCAGGATCTTGTTTGTGCCTTACTGGGTGCCAACTACAAGGGATGGGTGTGTGTGTCCTCGTTAAGATGCAGCGTAGGAATTGACAAATAGTAGCAATAC